ACCATACGCGAGGTACAATAGTCCATTTCTGAGTAATGCATTTCAGATTGTTTCAAATGATGTGTTGAAAACAGAGCAGGTAATTATTATTATTTTTTGTCTTAAAATGGGAGCAAGAAGAGTTTATAGTATTATGTTGTTTCTTATTAGGAAGATTCTAAACCTTTGTAACCGGGACCATGCAAAAGAAAGAATCAAGGGAAAGTTGTTATGAAGGCAAAATAAAAAAGATTCTACTTGAAACTGAATCAAAGGAAATAAGGAAACTAACATTGTGGGTCTTTCTTTTGCATTAGATTCTTACTTTACCCTCTAAGCAAAACCTTTTCCTTTTTACTCTTAACCCTTCTTCTGCTTTCTTCCATTTTTTAAAACCATTTTTTTCGCTTTCAGGAAAAATGTAACAAGAAACTAAAAGATTGCAGCAAGTAAGATAAACACCAACATATAGAGGTTGCAAAAGGTTTTACATAAGAGTCAATAATATCCATTCTCTACATAAACTTTAGCCTAAGTACATATTACTTCAGTCATGTCATAGTACTTATTTCAGTCTAAGAACATCTTTCACAGTGCTAATGCTCTGATTAGATACAAACACAAAAAAAAAGCAAGAAAACATATACTTCAATAGATTAATAGAAACAGCTGACTTACAGTTCATGAGCTAGCAGAAGCAGTGCAAGGCTTTTCAGTAGCATGATCTGCTTCTGCTGTTTTCTCTTTCCCCTCGGCTTCTGTTTTCAGACCATTTCCCTCATGGTTTACTGTCTCGGCTTCAGACTCGGGTGCTCCTTGGCCTGCAGTTTCCTTCTTTTCCTCATCACCGGTAGCTTCAACAGTTTTATCATCAACCGGTTTCTTTTCGGTTGAACCAGTCTCTTCTTCTTTTCCAGTCTGAGACTCCACTCTCTCCTTAATACTATCCTCAACTAGATCTGCCTTCTCCTTCATTAACTCACCAGCTTCTTGAACTGGAGCTGCATTTGGAGTTTCCTCTGCAACCAAGTCGTGTTTCGCATCATTCGCCTTCTCGGTTTCACCAGACCCATCCTTACCAGTTACATTCTCATTCCCACCGTTTCCCTCATTCAGAACCATTTCAGTGTCTTGCACATGAGAGTTTTCATCTCCTACTACCTCTGATTTCTCACCTTCTGTATCTTTCTTTGACCCAGAAGATTTAGTTCGACCTCGCTTCTTAGGCGGTTCTTTATCTGGTGACGGCGTCGACTTAGTCTTCTCACTGATTCTTGCAGATCTCCTAGGCGTCCCACTAGTGGTCCAATCAAACTCTGCGATCGCCGGGTTTCCAGGATGCGATTTGAGATACTGCTCCAGCTGCTTTCTGTTACTTATCTCCTCACCGGTTGGAGCAACAAACACAATCTCCGTTTTCTTTACTGATCCAACTTTGTTGGGAAAAAACTACAAAAAGAAGTCACCTTTACTTACAATGTAAACTCTGAAATTTAGAAAAAGCTTAAGTTGCAAACAAAGAGTGCTCAAGATTAATTTTTTAACCAACCATCCATAAGAATCAGGAAATTCCAGAACAAACAAAGCAAATGTGCCTTTTTCTATTAAGTCTATAGCCTTTGAATCATCCGATCAAAATCAAGCATTTTCACTTATATACTAACAATTCGCTACCAAAAGCTACCTTCTTCTTCTTCATACATACATACATGATTTTGTAATTGTGCATTTGACAAATATACAAACATTTAGGGTTTTTGTTTCTATGTAAGCCCTAAATTAAGAGAGGGGAAAGAAAGAAAACAAACCAATTTCTTCCATGAAGAAGGTGCTGGAAGCTCAACAGATACAACTTCCTCTTCGGTACCCATCTCTCTCTG